TATCCAAAACTAAGACAAAATAAATTCAAGTTTTTTAATTCTTTTAAAATATCTATAAAATCCTTTGACAATGGTTGGTGTCTTTTAGATATCATCAATAAATAGATCAGTATCGAAATGATCGTTTTCCATTTCAGCACATATATCTCAAAGCCCCCGTAAAGCGCTCGCAAAACGCGCGTTTTAACAAAACTCTATAAACGCGCGTTAAACGCGCGCTTGGCGTTTGAGTGTGTACGGCTACATAGAACTCTTGGTTCTTTAAAACGCGCGTTGAAAAACGCCTAGTGTGTACAGGGCCTTAATGTCCGGACGTTGCCACGAACATTCAAATCAGATATTTTTTATTTATTTATTTAAGTATTCAATTGAAAAACTGACTTTTTTACATTACATTTATAGGATTGTTGTAAGCATTTTAAAAAATAAAATGTTGCATTTGTAGAGTAATTTATTTAAAATTAAAATTTATTGAAAAAACTTTATTATTTTTTGTTTAGTAATGACATTTCACATCTACAGAAACACAAGATTGAATCGTAATTTACACATTGCTACTATTCTGTTTCTTTTATTTCAATATATATCCGGTCTAAACACCTCAATTTTCTAGGAATTATCAGATCTACAGACGCTGTAATTACTAGCCAATCAAGAACTTTTTATTTTATAAATGACTCATTTATAATTAATCTTTTCTCTTCAAAATTTACATACCTAATAATAATTGAAGTTTGTTCCTTATGGGAAATATCAGGAGTACAATCCATTTGGATACTATAGTATGTGGCTGCTTTTATATCGTCTTTAATTTTGTCAAGGACTTCATCTCCTAACGCAGAAATAATTTGTTCTTGTGATCTATGTGCTAAATGATGCACGATTCTGTTTATATGATACATTAGAACAGAGTCGTATTTACTTAAAACTACGACTATATGCAAATATACATATAATTTTATATGGCCGACGGCCACAGTATTATTTCATTTCTTAACGCGGGCTATATGGTATTGAGATTTTTTTTAAAAGTCGAATTTAGGTGGGGATTCTCGGGAGTTTCCCGAATCAAATAACAAAAACTAAACATTCGCATCACCGAGAATTAGTTTGAAGATTGTCGAAATTCAGAGATTACAATAATAATGTTTACGATAAAATGTACTTTTCGTCATACTGACAACGATAGGAATATTGTCGAGTTTTCTTGTGCATTCTTGACAATGTTAGGGCCCCCTCAATCGCGGGGCCCCGGTGCACAGCATCCGCCGCCCCCCCCCCCCCGATGGCCGGCCCTGACCCGAAAATGTGTTATCGTAAATGGAAAGCCATGTTGACTAGATTAGAGTTGTTCTTGATCTATTGTTCTCTTATACTACAGAGGCACTTAGATCAAAACGAACGAGTTAACGTAAGCATAATTTTTAAAAATTTCATAAAAAGATGATGATATATTATCGAATATCTAGACTTAAATTAATAACGTAATGGCCGGATGGCCAAGCGGTCAAGGTGGCAGCCCACCCCCTTAGGACTCCCGGGATCGAATCCGGACGGGTAAAAAAAAAAAAACCCAGGAATTTTTCAGGGGGTGATCCGACCGGATTTGTTCGGCCCCCGTCCCTCACCATCCGGCCGCCCCATTGTGGGTTTGGCACGAACCCATAATGGGTTTGCTGAAAAAGGCCCTCAGCGTCCACAGGGTGGAAAAAGTTTTTTTAAAAAAAAGTAGTAACGCAAGAGAGAATGAAAAAATTAAATTTTAGTATAAGAATTGTAATGCATTCAAATTACTGCATTTTGAAATGACTTTTTATTGAAAAATATTTAAATTTACATTTTGAAAATGACAGTGTAATTTTTTTCCATAAAATCGACACAAATAACACTTTATTTTATTAGTAATAATTATAATCTTCATCTCATATCGTTCGTGTTATCACTGTGAAGTATCAGTTTAAGTTTTAGTTTTGGTTTGATATAGTAATATATTAACGTTTCGCCTCGAAGTAACAAATACTGTAATTACAGATTTGTTAACAGACACAGGTAAGGTCATTTTTTATGTTAAAATTAATTTCACCAAATCTTTCAATAATGGATTTAAGTTTTAAAATAATTAATTAATTAATTTTAATTTTGAATAATCTGTCTATTATTACAAATAATTTTTAATTTTTGTATGTAATTATAATTATAATGAAAAAAAATTATTCTGTAATCTCTATTTTATAAATTTAGTGCAAAATATAAGCTTATAGTTTTTCGTAATAATAATATAAATAATTGCACTTAAATAAGCATTTACCTTCATTGGAATTAGATGATAATTGAGAAGGGAAAGCATGAACATATCGCTTGTGCCAACGATAGATCTGACACTTAGCGGTATTAGAATGAACTACATAATGGCAGCTGCTATGGGTATAAAGTAACTGGCGTCTAATTACAGAACGATTCCGTAGCTGTAGTTTTGTTTTTTACCACGAGATGGCGGTACTTCGTGACGTCACGTATCTCAACAGGCATTATTCTAATTTACAGTCAGTTGTAACGTCACTGAATCACATGACTGAACGCAAGCGGTGTAAATACATCACAGTCAGAATTAATTTATTACAAACAAAATTTGTTACTGTTCGTTTCTTGAACGACAAATTTGTATTTGTCTAATACTCAATGTTTAAAAGATGATTATTGTTCACTATTTTTATTAAAATATTTAAAATTATACAGTATATTATAAAAGTTATTCTAAGAATATATAGACTTTCGTTCTTAAATTCATTTAATCTCAAGATTTTCCTGCTGAATTTTCAATCTCTTACTCGAAATTTTTCTTTTGTATTACTTAATAAAATTATTCATTGCTTGTTAGAAATAATTTAAACGTTTTATATTAGAAAATTTGCAATATTTTATTTTACAATTAGACCCTGTACACACTAGGCGTTTTTCAACGCGCGTTTAAAAGAACCAAGAGTTCTATGTAGCCGTACACACTCAAAAGCCAAGCGCGCGTTAAACGCGCGTTTTGCGAGCGCTTATAGATTTTTGTTAAAACGCGCGTTTTGCGAGCGCTTTACGGGCGCTTTGAGATATATGTGCTNACAAAAAGAACTTGAAACTGTCTTGTGCCAACAAGCAAGTGTAATAAACAGTGGTGATATGGATCATTCATATTTGTGAAAACTTAAGTTTATGAGAGATTTTAACTTTCATATTGTATTTAGAATATATTAGAATGTAAATAAAACAAAATCCTATAATTTGTTTAAAATTTCAGTCTTTCATTTTTTCAATCATATTCCAATCTTCACAAACCAATTTTAATATGTTCTTTTGTATTTAAATTTAAAAGGAAATATTTTAAAAATTTAATAAATTACTCTATAATTTTAGCTCAAATTTTATTTGGATAATTCAGATTTTAATCGATTGAACTAAAGTTAACTATATCAGGGTTAGGTTTTTTTTTAAATCTCGTGAAAACCAAATAAGGATGCCTATGGAGAAAATTGAGTTTGGTTTTGTGGAACATTTCAAAGATAAACGTTAAGGCCCTGTACACACTAGGCGTTTTTCAACGCGCGTTAAACGCTCGTCGAACGCCGAGCTAACGCGCGTTAGCTCGGCGTTCGACGAGCGTTTAACGCGCGTTGAAAAACGCCTAGTGTGTACAGGGCCTTAACGTTTATCTTTGAAATGTTCCACAAAACCAAACTCAATTTTCTCCATAGGCATCCTTATTTGGTTTTCACGAGATTTAAAAAAAAACCTAACCCTGATATAGTTAACTTTAGTTCAATCGATTAAAATCTGAATTATCCAAATAAAATTTGAGCTAAAATTATAGAGTAATTTATTAAATTTTTAAAATATTTCCTTTTAAATTTAAATACAAAAGAACATATTAAAATTGGTTTGTGAAGATTGGAATATGATTGAAAAAATGAAAGACTGAAATTTTAAACAAATTATAGGATTTTGTTTTATTTACATTCTAATATATTCTAAATACAATATGAAAGTTAAAATCTCTCATAAACTTAAGTTTTCACAAATATGAATGATCCATATCACCACTGTTTATTACACTTGCTTGTTGGCACAAGACAGTTTCAAGTTCTTTTTGTTCACCAGCTGATGGTTTAACCAACCTAGGCTTCTTGGCTTTGTTTTTTTGTGGAATAGAATCTCTTTTGAGGTATAATTTTTTTATTCCATGGTTGGGATTCTTCACTCTTCTTTATCAGTGTTATATCAGGAGTATTCTTTCTCATTTTTATTAATTTAAGTGCAGATTTAAGATGCTTGCAAACATCCTGTGCAACTGCCTCAGGGACTTCTCCCTGCATATCTGCAATAGCTTCTACTACCTGATTTGCTAATGATACTATATGTGCAGTAGAAGAAGATTGTTCTGGCTTGTAAGTGGCAGAGAAAGATTTAATGTGAACTCTATTTAGTTCTTCAATTACATTGCTGTAATCTTCCTTTACAACTTGTTTCTTCTTAATGCAGTCATATTCTGCCACTGCATGAATGTGCTTGCAGAGATTTCCATGAAGTGCATTGTCATAGCAAGTGCACGTGTATCCTTTTATACAAGCATAACATACAAAACACCTAACCACACATAACTGAGTACATTCATGGTCTACATGGTTCACATGATATGTTACTTCAGTATTTGATGCTGATCTTACATTCCAGGAATCTTTATTATCAACTGAAACAACGGAAGAGATTATTTTACATCCTTCATTGTGTAGCTTAGAAATATTTGCCATCTTTTTGCTGATCTTTCCTTTATGAAATTTTCTAATTTCATCAAACTCCTTGTCCAGAAGAAATTCCTGCAAAACAGATATGCATCTGTCCATTCTTTTGGTCTCTCTGCCAAGCATGTAGTTGTATTTAAGGTTTCTGTGAAAATTTTCTAGATGCATGTTTGTATTGATTCGCAGACCTACTCTAAAGCAGTATGCCCACTGCTGTGTTCTATTGGCATAGTACTGCATCAGATAAGCCCGGAATCTTTCAGTATCTTCACAGCCTTCTAGCTCTTCAAGAAGAGCAGAGAACATCTTTAAAAATGTTTTCATCAAGTTGCAACTGACAAGTTTTTAAGGCTTCATATATTTTTTGTTTTTTTACTTTGTCAGTTATAGTGTTAAGCTTTCCTTGCCATGCTCTGTCAACGTGCCAGGAACAAAGTAAGTGGTGAGATGGTGGNCTAAAATTTATTGTTGTGTATTAAATATTTTTTATTAATAAAAATTTAAGATTTGTTTTAGTTTTTCACATTATTTAGTTTTGTTTTATTTATTGTTTTATATTTTTCGTGTGCTCTATTTCTAGTGTGAGAAAGGGGGGCCCGTAAGAAGAAAATGTCTAGGGCTCCAAAATGGGTTAATCCGGCCCTGTGTTCCTATATTTCACTTTTCCGTAAAAACTACACATCGCACGTGAATGGTAATTGTATGTGGTGGTAGCCCCAAGTCTCCATTCGTGCATAGGTGTGGTCGCGTCTCGATAGCTATAAGGGTGCGGGAGATATGAGGCTGAAAGTGGCTTTCTATTTAGAATGTTTTGTTCGAATTTTGTTCGATTATAGAACGATTGTAAACGTTCCAGAAACGTTGAAAATAGTTCGTTTAACTAAACGTAAAAATTCTCTAATTAGTCTGGAAATTCCGTTTTCACAGAATGCAAGAATTAGGTCCCAATTCTTGCATTCTGTGAAAACGGGTAAGATTACCTATAATGTAATTATCTTAATCTTCACTATCGTTACTTTTTAAAAACCCAGCGAAGCGGGTCCTTGCAGCTAGATTCTAGATTACTCAGAAAAACAGTCTTTTATACCGTGTTTCCCCGAAAATAAGACATCCGCAGAAAATAAGACCTAGCACAGATTTTGCTGAATTGCGAAATATAAGACCTCCCCCTGAAAGTAAGACCTAGCGAAGTTTTTTTTTTAGTCGTAACGGTCATCGACAGATGGTTGAAAGTACAGCCACTGATTGGTCAGCAGACAATTACGCCACACGGCATGATTTGCATAAGACTATGGCTTGGGAATCACAGATTTGCATAATGTTATCGCTGGTGATCGCTAATTGGTCGGCTGGGAATCACGCCACATCACATTTGCATAGTGCTACGGTTCAGTAAGCACTAATTGGTCATCGAGCTCGATGTGGACACTATAAAAAGGTTAAGTTGAATGTGTCGCAAGGTGTTCTCTCGAACCTGTTTAGCGTATTGTTCAACAATAAATGTGAATTCGTCTTCATGGAAATATAAGACATCCCCTGAAAATAAGACCTAGTGCATTTTTTAGAGCAAAAATTAATATAAGACACTGTCTTATTTTCGGGGAAACACGGTATATATAAAAAAAACGTCATATTACATACAAATAAAAACCCAGCGAAGCGGGTCCTTGCAGCTAGTTAAAAAATAAAATTATGCTGTATTGTTGTCAGTCAACATTACCTTTTTATTATTAGCTTGAGGATTTATTTTATGTTTGAAACTAAAATTACTGTAAATAAGAGAATAAAAACAATTGCCACATACGGTTTGATTTTTATTAATGTATTTATCAAATGCCATTCGTTTCTTTTATTACAAAATATCTGTAATGTAGCCAGAAAAAATTGAACTCGTACTTTGAAATACTTAAATTTGAGAAATATTTTTCATTCAAAAAGGTTTAACTTGCTTTTTGTATTTTCGTTTTTATTTTACTGCCATTAAATAATAATAAATTCAAAATGTAAGAAAGTATACTTTTTTGTTATCAGATTTAATAAAAATAATTTACTAAAATTATTTTGTTATTTTGTTTGTAATTGATATTTATCAAACAAATAACTCATATTCAAAAAAGTTACAACGCAGAAACAGTCATCTGCTTTGTTTTACCCCATTTGCTAGTAAGCCATTACGCATTACACGAAATATATAAGTTTGCATTTTGTGTGTTGCATTGCACGAAGTTTCGTTAGACAGATACTGAAATACTCATTAGTTTCAACAGAAACAAGTTAGGATTTCTTGAAATGAACAGAAAAACTTGACAGTTTCTAAAACAAATGTGTGTTACAAGATGCACTAGTGCTTCAATAAATGGCTAGTCGTTTCTTGAAATGACAAATTTCGTTATAGGACTATACTATATAAGGAAAAGTTGTTAAAATCGTACTACTTAAAAAAATTAATTCTCTAAGAAATGTACACTGTAAACATCGTCATATTGCAGTTTTAATCATATTTTTAATTTATTGGGCTGCAATTTGAAAAAAATTGTAGACCTATAAATTTCCACTGTCATCTGTCTTCCTTCTTCCTTAATCTCGAAAAGTAGATAGATAGATTAAAGCCGAGACTAGATATGGAAAGCTAACAATAAACTTCCTGTTACAACCGGAAGTCACTTACTTTAATTCAAAGATTTTCCTCTGATAGGCATGACTCTATTGTAACAGGAAAGTACGATGTACAGGGCAAGGCATATTAAAAAGTTGAGAACATTGTGACGGTGTCACAATAAATAATTGTTCGTCCTTCTATATGACGATAAAATAGTTGATGTATTAATTTATATAATGTTAGGTTGATAGATGTTTTGCCTGTATTAAGAATAATTTAATCAAACTACAGGAAATCCTTGTTAGTTCGAAATTCGGGGACGAAATATTCGCGACTTAGAAATACGGTATGTGAATCTCTGATAATTCGATTTAATATGCCAAATGCCATGTAACTGACGTAATTTATTAAACAAACAGAATACGGTTACTTATACAGAATGTTATTTTCATTAATATAAACTACAGGTAAATAACACGTATCCGGTGAGAATCTCGCAAGTCGTTAGATAGGTTTGATTAAAGTAAAGCAGTTTCCTCGAAATGTAACCTAAATTATTTTTAAAGTGGCTCAAAAAAGTAAGTTCACCGAATGTAGTGGACTAGAACCTTACATATATCTCAATCTGGTATCGTAGCCAAATCTTGAAATTTCGAAACACAGTTATATTTTGAGATAAGAAAGAGGAAAAAGTAGATCATGTATAAGGTGACACCCGAAACAGGGCCGGCCTTCTCTATAAAGGGGCCCGGGTGCAAGAAACTATTTGGGTACTACATTTTTTGTAAAATAAAAAAAATTACAAACACAAACATATATTAATGCATGTTTATTTAAAGCGTGATTTTGTTCTTGCTAATACATGAATTACTTCAGGAAAATTATAATTTTTGCAATTTCTTTTTTTCAATGCTTAATATAGCAATTGCATTAAGCGTTCTGCACACATGCTGGATCGAAATAATTCTTTATTAATTTTAATTTGCTGAAAGAGCGCTCAGCACTTGCTATAGTAACTGGCAACGCAAAGAAAAGTTTTAACACAGTTAATACATTTAGAAATAACTCATTATAATTATTATTTAGTATGTATTGCATATGTCTTGTGTGTTATTTACATCTCTTTCATTCAAAATCAAATCCCGTAGCAAACCAATTTCCTGGAATAGGTTTTCATCTAGGGGAGATCCTTCTACTTTGGGACGCTTTTCTTTAAACCTTTATAATTTAAGTTCAAATTGATCTTTAGCTATGACTATTGAATATTTCTATTAGTAATTGATAACATCATTAAATATGGTGCAACACTTGACCCTATGCTATTTTATTTATGAGAAAATGTCAAATAATTATTTGCAGATATTTGTCCCAAGGTACAATCATGGATTGTACCTCGGGACACCAATGTTTGTACCTTGGGACACGAACAATCCTAACATTTTTGTAAATCTTAACTTCCGCCAGATGAAAAAATAGTTTATCCAAGTCTTTTCCCTTATAACAATATTGGCTTTATCAGTTAACAAAAATGTTTCATATGCTGGAAATGCAGGTAAGTATAAAGTTTAAATGTTCTGTAGAAGCATTTTAATGATTAAAAATCAAAGATAATCTCATTTTTGTATTAAGGAAAACAATAGTCATTACAAATATAGGTCATAAACATTACTACTTACTAATTTTTTTAGAATTAATATCGCATTTCTGACAGTAATTTTCAAAAAAGGTGCAATCTTCGCGCACCCAGAATCGACAGGTAACGCATTGAATCCAGCCTTCTGTGCTCGAAGTAGTAAAATAATTTTCATCGCATCCTACA